CTTTTTATATTTTTTTCCAACAAGTCTTTTTATGTCTATGTGCTGCATGCTTGTGCTGCTGCAGTTTAGGTTAAAGTTTAGTTAAAAATAAATGCACGGGTAATGTTTTCCTCCTTGCCTTTCTTTTAAACTAAACTTTAAGCTAAACTGCAGCAGCACAAGCATGCAGCACATAGACATAAAAAGACTTGTTGGAAAAAAATATAAAAAGAATTAAGTTTAAACATTTAAGACACACAAATGTATGTACAAGTAAAAGGAAAACAATTAATATATATTAAAAAAACAGTAAACTAATTAGTAGACTAATTTCTTGGAACTAACCTGGAAAAATAAATATGAAAGTCACTAAAATACAAAACAGGAGATAAAGTTCTCCTTTTTTAATTTAATTGGTGCATTTTAAGTGTATTTATTTAGTGGTTCATATAATTCTGCTTTGATTTCTAATTATGTCAGTTTTGGTSCTCCGTACTGCAGGAGCCTGATAATCATCTATTCATTCACAYCAGGTGTGTTGGAGCAGAGAAACAAGTAAAACATGCAGGGCTGCAGCCCTCCAGGACCRGGACTGYCCATGCCTGGTTTAAGATGTTTGTTGGCATTTTCAAACCAACCAACTCCTGCTGTCTCGTCTCTCTCCACAGTAAACAGAGGCATAATAAGCTCTGGAGATCCCACTCTGACAGCGACCTCTCAGACCGGCCCGAGCCCATGTGCAAGCCTTCATCTCCCTCTCTGGTCCGCGCCGACTCGCACAACAACAACACCTCCTTACATCACTTCCTGGGCGTGGCCGTCCTGCAGGCGCTAGGAGCCCGACCTGAAAACTCTGCCGGATCAAACCGCACGCCTGCCTCCGTCTCGGACCACAACGGGGTGAGCGAGTCGGAGGCTCGGGAGGAGGTGAGAGCRGACGCTGAAGGCCCCGTCCCACTCGTCCTCCCCAGACCCCGAGCAGCCACCGTCATCCCCGAGGAAAGTCTGAACAACTGGGAGAGCGTGGTCGTCACCGTGCCTGTAGCCCTGCCTCACCCTCCTCCCTCACTCCTCATCTTACCYCCCACTCCTGAGCTCCGGCGGCCTCATCGGGGTCCACCCACATACCTGTCCATTTCAGTGCCCGAACGCAAACCAGAAGAGCTGACCGTGTCCGAGACCTGCAGCTCAGGGGAAATCTCTCCTCTCGCTCTGGACTCCAGTGACTCAGACTTACTGAATCAGTGTTTTTTAGATGCACCAAGTGTCAAACACAGCCCTCTACCTCTGGTTCTCACCGAGACTTTAAAGGACGACAACAACAACCCCAGCCAGCCGCTGGACGGCCGCGGCGAGGCCGACGGCTCGCCCAATCACAGCGCGGACAGCGCCGACTTCCTCACCGCCAGGGGGAAGATCCTGGACCGGGAGCAGAGGACTCCTCTGTCTCCTGAAGGAGAAGCAGAAGTCTGCGAGGAAGAGGAGCAGGAAACGAGTGCAGCGAAGGTTTGTTCAGCTGATTTCTGTCTTTGATAAAATAAAATGGTACCACTTTACAATAAGGCTCCCCTTTGAGATGGCTTAAAAATAGTTTATAGATAGATTATTGATTCATCTGTAAACACTTTATAAATTGTTAATAAATGTTTATTGTGGATTAATTAAGAACAGGAAAGAGACAAAACTGTCTGGTTTCTTGCCAAATAGTGAGCCAAATCTCTTCATGTACATACTATTAGGTTTTTAAGCATAATAATGTATTGGAAACACATATTTAAAAATAATATTGTACTATATTACTGAAATATACATATTAACAATTGTTAAAGGGAGCCTTATTGTAGGTACACTATTTATTAATGACTAATAAACTTCTATAAATGCCATAAAGAGCCTATTTTAAAGTGAAAAACAGTACACTATTTATAAGGCTCTTTTATGACATTATTAGTCATTAATAAATAGTATACTGTTTTACACTTTACAATAAGGCTCCCTTTGAGTACTCTGGATATGTATAATGCAGTAATACAGTACACTATTATATGTAAAATATGTGTTTTCAAACAAGGTAGTAACCTAGTTTGAAATGTTTAATAAGCACCTTTAGATTTAATACTGTATATTCATGAACAGATTTGGCTCACTATTTGRCAAGAAACCGGACAATTTTGTCTCTTTTCCGTCCTTAATTAATGAATAATAAACACTTATTAACAATTTATAAAGTGGCTACAGATGAATTAATAACCGATCTATAAACTATTTATAAGCCATCTATAAGGGGAGCCTTATTGTAAAGTGGTACCAATAATATTTTATAACGAATAAARATAAGACACATCGCCTGGAAAGAAAAATTAGTGTTATTTATTTTGAGGTTTTTGCCAGGATTGTTTTGCTGTGGCGGCCATCTTGAATTGTTYACAGAGTGTAGATGTAAAACTAAAAATTGATTTGAGTTTCATTAAAATCCGTCAGCTTTTCAATGATATTTAGCTAACACAGACAGTGGGAGGGGATTGTTACTCATTTGTTCAGTTTTATTGCTTTGAAAACATTTAAAAATGAAGTGAAAGYTTCCTGTAAAGGTTGTGAGTTCCTGTTGTCTAAAACAGAAGCAGTGTTGTGTTCCTGAGAATCCACTTGTTGCGTCATCAAAACAGATCCAGTCCGTTTGTGGTTTGAGATTTTCCTGCCAGATCAGCTCCAGACTGAAGCAGTCAGCAGAGTTCACCTTGCGGTTCTGTTTTCAGGATGTTGTTTCTGTTTACTGCGCTTGTTTTCCTGTCGGTCCCGGTTCAGCTGGTTGTTTAGGTTCTAAGGTCGTTTATAAAACAATTTGACATAATCGCTGCCACCGCTCTGGCTGGAACCGGTTTAAGACGACAGGATTGATCAGGAGGACACCTGCTGGGAGAACTGCAGCAGTGTGTAACGCGTGGTGAAGCCGGAGTCATTAATAAAATGTGTTTTTCTGTTTTTCAGGCGTCTCTTCAGGCCGACACCTGCGACCACACCCTTCCTGCTCAGCACGACAATGGAGTGTCGGTCCGCCACATCGTCACCGAAATCGAAGCCATCTCACACTCTGCCTCTCCCTCCTCCTCACAGCTCCCCCCGTCCTCCCCCAGCCCTCGGACGGTCCGGGCGGATCGTCCGGAGGAGGCGCTCGGCTCCATGGCTCCGCCCCCGCGGCCTGTGTGCGACCGGACGGCAAGCTCGGTGCGGCGGGCCGCCGAGCAGCTGGAGCAGAGGCTGAGGCAGGAGCAGGACGTGGCGGCGCCTCAGCGCTCCCCGAGTCCAGAACACGGCACCGCTCAGGGAGAGACCACGGCCGTGTCTGCTGAACCCACAGAAGAGGCGGGGCTTCACAGACTCCACCCCCCAGTCCTAAACCTGTCCTCCTTCCAGAACTCTCCTCTCAGCCAGGTCCCTGCTGCTCTGCCCAACCCGAGGCACACACCTGTAAACAGTGACGCTGTGACATCATCACTGGTTTCTGCCAGTCGGTTAGAAGAATCCCCTCCAGACCCCTCGGCCCGCTCTCACAGTCTGGTTCTGGACGGCGTGACTGCGCAGGAGTCCGACGCAGACGAAGGTCTGGACTCCCATCTCCAGGGCAGGAGGCGGGCCTGCAGTCCTGCCTGCGAGGCTCAGAGCCGTCTGGTCCACAGCAGCCAGGAGCTGGAGCGGATCCAGCACACGCTGCGAGAGCTGCAGGCCTTCCTGCAGGAGGGCGTCGGCCTGGAGGACACCGACAGCCCCGCCCAAGAACCGGGGCTGAGGGACACCATGGACACGGAGCCGGAACACTACACAGAGTCCAGTTCTGAGCGCAGCCCTCCAGACCTGGCCCACAGGGGCCGACAGGAGGGCAGGGGTCCGTCAGAACCAGCAGGGTGGCACAGAACCTTTGAGCTGGAGGCTCGACTGCGGCAGGCCGGCCTCACCCCTCCTTCTCTCATGAAGAGGTCAGCCTCCTTAGCTAAACTGGACTGTCTGGAGCTGTCGGCCCACGACCTGAGCGACCTGGACCTGGAGCTGGACCTGAGACCACAAACCAGATCCCGCACATCGTCACACTCCCACCACCCCTCCTCTTCCTCCCCGACACAGCCTCACTCAGACGACACCTGGAAGAAGCAGAAAGTGCTCAGTCGGAACAGTTCTTCTGACAAAACAGATCTAGCCCTTAACAGCACGTCCTCCTCCTCCTCCTCCTCCTCCTCCTCCTCCTCCACACATGAAGACAGAAGTGAGGGGAGCGAGGGAGCAGACGGCCACAGCAGCAGCGCGGGCTCTGCCTCCCGTCAGCAGGGCAGAGGACACTCCTCGAGGCGTCCTCGGAAAGCCTCCGCAGAGAGGAAACAAAGAACACTGCTCTACAACACCATGTAACCTCAGTGCAATGGACCGGACCGGACCGGACCAGGCAGGACCGGTGATGTGCGTGATGTGTGTGAGCTTTAACGTATGAATGGTGTGCGTTAGTTTGCATGTAAACCACTGGATGTTTGTTTCAACTGGAGTCATGTGAATGTGCAAACTGAGACTGAAGCGGTGCGAAGCGTGCACTCCGTTACACCTGTCCACTTTTTGAGCCAGGATTGTTAGTGTGACCCTCACTCCCCGTTCAGACTTTTTAAAACTACAACCATGAGGGGCTTTTTCTCAGAACATGCACTTTATTGTTTAGAAAGTTTTTGTTTGAATTTTGTTAGTTTTTTTTTTTACGCTGGGGAGGATTGTAAAGCACTGAGTCGACTCGTCTGTTTTTTTTTTGTTTTGTTTTCAAAGATATGTCTTTATTCAGAATTTTAATTAAACCAGGATAAAGCTTATATGATGTTGCTGTTTTTTTAATTATTTGGTGCTTTAGCAGGAAATAAATATGTAAAACAACGAGGACGAGTTTCTTTGTGTTCTTTAGTGCCACCTGCTGGAACACTCTTACACAAGTCTTGATGCGAAACCAGAACAGATTAAACAAACCCTCCAGTCCTGGTCAAATCCTTCAGCTCATTGTAGCTGATAAAAACGTTTCCACCCCMGTTGTTTTAAACCGACCATTTATTTWTTWATTTWTTTTAACACGTCGCCATGGGGAAATGATGCTGCAGCTTGTTTGAGGCTGACATTTTCCCTCCTGTTTCATGTGGGTAATTAAACTCTGAGATGTGGGCCACGAGGCGCACCGCTGAGACACCAACCTACATCAGTCAAGCCTGACATTAAAGGACTTTAAAAAAACTGGGTTAATCTGAAATCCAAACTCAGTCTAGATGAACGTTTTAATTGTAGATAAAATCAGGTGTAACTGAATCAAAGAAAAYGTTCTGATCCACGTTTTAAATCCACCTTGGCTGACTTTTAATGAAGTGTATGCCCTGAAATAAATGGTCATTTATGTCTTCTTTAGGTTCCAGCTGTATTTTTTTTTTTTCAGTGTGCTCTAGTGTCACATTGAGTAGTGGTTCTCAACCTTTTTAGACCCCATGAGCCATTTTGTCCCTTCAGTCAAACGTAATGATGATTCTCCAAAACTATAATGTACAACAGCTGATTATTAAATGAAAATTATTTATTTAACCTCCTAGAATGTTTAATTCTCAGGCATTTTATTCTTTTCAACTCAAAGATAAGTAATTGCCTAGAAACTGAATAAGTAAGTAAATAAATAAACCAGGTAATGGCAGGTGCAGAAAACAACTTGTGTCCAAAATACATCAAATACCCAAAATGAGCTAATTCTGTGAAATTCCACATTTTAKACAGGATTCCATTTTGTGTCAATTTCATGATTCTGTTTACATTTTCTGCATTGTGGAAATCATAGTTTYTATTTTTATTTTTTACACACCTGGGAAATTTTTCCACGTACCCCCTGTAATATGCTCGTGTACCCCAAGGGGTACAGGTACCGCTGGTTGGGAATCACTGCCATAGAGAATGCTCCGACTGACCGTGGAACCTTGTATTCTCAAGAGTCGGGGGGTGGGGGGTGGGGGGGTCTTGTCCGAGCAAAAGAACCACAGACCAGGGGCCTTATTTATAAAGGATTGCRTGGAAACCATATTAAAGTTAACATACGGCCAAAAGGCGAAAATGGCGTATGGCTTATAAATGTATTTTATTTGAAAGATCCTTGTGGCTCAGCAGCAGCAGCATAAATATTACTGTTAAGAAAGCTGATGATAAAGTTGATCTAAAATCTAAGTTTGATTATGAAGGTAAATTGGATATACAGGTGCTGGTCATAAAATTAGAATATCATGAAAAAGTAGATTTATTTCAGTAATTCCATTTAAAAAGTGAAACTTGTATAT